GTGTCATCTAGTCTTGTATGGTCTGCTGTGGTGTCTGTGGTCGGTGTCCGGACGGGGAAGCAGTATTATAACGGAAGCACAGGTTGGGTCGGTTCCGTTACACTGCCATTTCTTGAAGAACCAGTGAATTTAAATGCAAGTTGGGTTGGTCATATACATGTCCCAGATTCTAACAAGATAGACAATAACAAAAAGAGGATTCTGTTGTGTAGGACTTTCTTGGGACATGATATTGAGAGCTTCTATCAGAAGTGCTCAGCGCAACATAGTAGTTCCATGAGTTCTGTGCCAAAGTGTTAACCTCATGTGCTCTGTCTTTACCTGTAAGCCTGATGGCACAGAGCCAGATCATGTTGGGTTTGAAAAAGAGAAGAAAAGATCAAGTATCTTAATAAAGTGTCTGACCTTGTGAGGGCCCATAGGTAGGAGCTCATGTATCCTTACAAAATAATTAATCTCTAATTTTAGTTGTTTAAACTATAAAACTAAGTGTAACCTTCTATGTTATATTTTTCCAAGTGTAAGGAATGCTGGCAACATTATAAGTACTAATAATTTTGGCACTAGATTTTACAGGGGCTAAACATGACATGCTCTCTTTTATTCAGCAATCTACAAATAACATTGAACTATTCACAGTCTTGGCCTCCGCAATTGCACAATATAATGGTAATTTTATACCATTATTGGTCATTTTAAGGGGTTGTTTGTGTTCTAGTTTTCATCGCCTCCATTTGTTTTAGTAAAAAAAAGTGTGGTTGGGAACTGAATGGAATAGCAGAGAGATGTGTATTTTGAAGGAATGTACACATAAGGGTTCACCACTGAACTTTTCCTTTTTGTTTCTCTCTCTTTTATTTCTCCATTATTTTGCCAAATTGTGGAAGGGGGAGAGAGAGTGCATTAAATTGTCTTAAACTCTGGTTAAAATAAACCTGTGCTGTGAAAATACCTAGGCTGTCATTGCCAAACTCTCATTTTGTAAGTACTAGTTTTCTAACATATGCTTTGGTGTCATCGGTCATTTTGACTGGCTTTACTGGCTGCATGCTAGTTCCAGGACAGTGACTTGGTAACTGTTTTAAGGTCAGAGCAACAAAAGGCATATTTTGTAATTCTGTCAGTACAGGTTTTCTTTAAAACCCAGGTCCAGCTCAAGATAAAAAATAATTGCTGTGCAGAAATCAAAATAAAGAACTCTGGCTATATAATTGCCATACTTGACCCATGCCCCCTGCAGACTCTGCAGTCCAACACTAGCCCTTTCTCAGGTTGAATGTTGCCCAATGTCATTTTACCCACTTCCTTGGAGCCTAGAGCATCAAAAACCTGCTCTTTAAGGGTGCTTTATGAAGGCGCTCTGGGCTCACAGGAGAACAGCGTAAGAACTGGCACCACTTCAGTTCATTTCACTCTCCAATGCAGTATTCAGGACCCCCTGGCTGCAGAAGGAAGAAAGAACTCATGATGTCACACCAGATCTATAACCAGGATTTTAATTGTGTATTCTTTGTTATCCAAGTCATGGCATAACTAGTTGGTCACATTCCAATGGTACTTGTTCTGCAGAGTTAGATAATTCATACCTTCTCAAAGCCGCTTCAGTTCCAGTGATGCCCCAGAAATTATATCCACACAGACACATTAATCATTCCCTCTTGTATTGAACTGTGTTGTTGCTGTATTGTCTCCCTTTATATTGTAAAGCGCTGAGCAAACTGTTGGCGCTATATAAATCCTGTGTAATAATAATAATGTCGGTGAAATAGACATGTGCACACTCTGTAGGGCCAATTTTGGTTGAAGCCAGGCAGCCCAAAAGTATACTTTTAGATCGTGGGAGGAAACTGGATCACCATAATCTCCTAGATTGTAAGCTTGAAAGAGCAGGGCCCTCGAACCCCTCATGGTTTGTTTTGTTACTGTATTGTCTCATGTTCTGTCCCCCACTATAATGTACAGTGCTGAGCAAACCTTTTGGCGCTATATAAATACTGTATAATAATAATAAGCAAACTAATGCAGACACAGGAGAAGATACAATCCTCATGAAGAACACAGCTTTGTTGGAACTTGAATCCAGGACAGTAAGGCTACAAGGCAAGAATGTTTCCTTTCCCAAAAACGCAAAACTTCAGGAAACATAATGACAGGTTTACCAAAGTGCCAATCAAAACAAATTCAAACACTATACCCACATTTAATAATATAGTTCTGTCTTTTATGTTTGCTGATGTATTAGCAAAGTGATCTCTAATGGGACACCAAATTCAAAACTTAAGCTGGGTACACACTATAAGAAAATCAGAAGAAACATTCTGTACAAGGAACGATCATTCGATTTTCATATACTGTGTACACAATGTTCGACATCCAAATGAGATTTTCTAGACAAAAATTTCTGAAGGGACAAACTCAAAAGTTTTTCTCGTACCTGCACACAGCGTCTGATTTTTACACAATGTGTACAGTAATCATACAGAAATAATTGAATAGAGAAAAACATTAAAAATATGTTTTTTTAATATATTCTTCAGATTTTTTTAGCATATAAAAAAGTAATTTTAACATATATTTGTAAATGCATTCCAAAAATGTACATTTGTATTTTTAAAGATATGCAGCATATTTGAAATTTTTTAAAAATATCTTTCATATATTTTGTAATAAAAACGCATTTCAACATGCAGTGTGTATATAAATATATATATATATATATATATATATATATATATATATAATTATTATTTATTTTTTTTTAAATATATTTTGAATATGGCCAAAATTGTAGAATTTCAACTATATGGCAATATATTTGGGAAGAATATTTTTAAAATATACTTCAAATATATTTTTCTTCCATATGGGTAATATGGGTCAGTTACATCACAATACGCACCTTTGTCGACCGGTCATTCGATTCTCTCATATTGCATATTTAGATTTCAGAACTAGATTTCAACAATAGGTACTGCCAGTGATGTCTTGAACACAGATGCCTGGTATTGTAGAGGTGTGGTAATGCAAAAAGAGGTCAGAAACAGGAGAGAAATACTGTTTTAAATAAATTGCCTTTAAAGAGACTCTACAGTAATAAAGTGGAGGTACCAGGAGTCTGTGAAGGTTCTCATTTATCCAGGTCATGGTAAATCTGGTAGTAGTCACATTAAGCTGGAGTTATTCTGTACTGGTGAAGTCGGTTCCTAGGCTATACCACTTCTTCAGCTCTTCACCTATGAAGCCTACCTGACACCAGGGATGGGATATATAACTAGAAGAGAGTAGTTCCACAATTTCTATACCTCCCATTCTTGGACAATAGTATCTGTCTTTCTATGGTGACTGGGTTAAGGTATCTGTGCTACCTTTGTGGATATACAGTAAATATTGGTGTATTTTCCTGATATTCATTAGAACTGAAGAAGGGGCTTGGATAAAATACTCAACATCTTTAACATTGCAGAAAAGTCTAGCTGAATGTGACAGGTACCTAGAGGTACATGACCAGAAGCGGACTGACAACTCATGGGGCCCCCAGGCAATAGGGGATCATGGGGCCCCTGTGTCCTCACCCACACTCAAATCACACCCAAATAAGCCTATGAAAGGTACCAGGGACATCTCATGGGGCCCCCTACTGACCCCGGGCCCTCGGGCTGTGCCCGAGTTCCTCAATGGTCAGCCTGCCCCTGTACATGACTACAGCAGCCATTAACTTCCTACTATTATGCTTAAATATTGAGCTATTTTGACAGGCAACGCACCAACACCAAAATTTCTGATATTCCAAATCCTTATTAGACCAATGCTATGATGGTTCTTCTCTAGAAAGAACTGGACCCCAATGCAGGATCAAATGCTTATCCTTTATGTTTTTTTCACCGCAGTGCACAGCAAAGCACATTGTACATTGGGGTGCACAGTTGAGCATACTGTATGCGCTTTTCAAAATGAATGGCAATAGACATTTCAGTGCACTTGAGCAAAGCATGTGGCATCACATATGTTACCGTAGTGCACTGTTTGTGAATAATAGGCCTTTGCTGTTCTTTCTCACAATGCAAACTGTGGGGCCAGTTTATATAGAGGAGTGGATATTGCTATACACCACAGGGCCTAGCACAGACCATTCATAAAATTTGGGCTGTGGTGTGATGCCTGCTGTGGTTCAAGAAGCTCCTTATTGGAGGAGAGCTGGTCATATTACTTGGACCGGTCACATGACTCTCCTTATGGCTTTTTTCTCACTTCACTTTCCATTTATTTAATAGTGCTCCACAGATTTCTGATTCGCAAAGCTGGCGGAGATCAAAGCACATCTATAAACTACATTATTGTGCTTCATAAATCTTTTTTTTTTTTAAAGCAGCAATATAGTGTCCCCTATAAAAAGACTCACTGTTTGAAAACAAACTACACCCTATGTGGCTAATATGTTATGTCAACAGATATTATTAGAGAGACAGAGTAATTACACTAAGCCACTGAGAGCTCCCTTTAGGGGCTAATTTACAAATCTCTACATTTAATAGAGTAATAATTATATGGAAGAGGAGGCACACTGCAATAAATAAAAACATGTGCTCCCCGTAAATCCTGTATGCTTTCCCTTTAAGTTGATTTGTGCAATGTGTTAGATACTGAACTTAATGGATGCGATCACAATTACCATTATTAACTTTCTTAGATATGGTCAAGAGAACAGAGTCTGTGAGTCTCCATTCTATTTATCACACATCATTTAAATTCCCCTGCTAAAGAACTTTCTTCCCCTATCTAAAAGTAATTACAGAGCTATCATTAATAAGCATATTCTTGAATGTTTGCAGGAATTTGCAGAGCATTCATTTTCAAAAATAAGTTACTTATACACTGACTAATTGTTATTTCCAGTTCCTCTTCTCTTGCTGTGTTGACCCGTTTATTATTATTAACATCATTAGCAAAATTGGGTCTTGAAATGTTGGGTTTATTTTTCGATCTTTGTCTTTGTTTTGCAGCCTCTGGATTTCGAGATGCAGAAAGAGCACTCTCTGGTCTTAGAAGCCCAGAACCGCTTTGTGGATCCTCGCTTCTCAGATCTGGGCACCTTTCGGGATCAAGCAATTGTGAAGGTGTCAGTCCTGGATGTAGATGAACCTCCTAAGTTTCACCCACTAAGTGGGGTCATTGAAGTTTCTGAGGATGCACACATTGGATCAGTAGTCGTGGTAATTACAGCCAGTGATCCAGATAAAGCCAACAACTCAGTCAGGTAACTTGCTGGTTGCTATAATAGCTTATATTGATTGTGCTTGCCTTTGTCAACAAGCCCTTGTTGTGGGCAAGCCCTCCCAAATTATCTAATTGCAGTTGTGTTTCCAGTTATGGTTACTGTTAATGCTACAGCATACTGCAACATTTTGGACAATTGTCCAACTTTGTGGCAACAGTTTTGCAAAAAGACCTTTTTCTTTGCCACCATAAATCTATCCCTGTGCACAAAGCCAAATCCATGTAGTCATGGTGTGGGAAAACTTGAGGGGCCTGCACAGAGCCCTGAACATACACTATATTTCCAAAAGTATTGGGACGGCTGCCTTTACATGTACATGACCTTTAATGGCATCCCATTCTTACTCCGTAGGGTTCAATATTGAGTTGGCCCATCCTTTACAGTTATAACAGCTTTAGCTCTTCTAGGAAGGCTGTCCACAAGGTTTAGGAGTGTGTCTATGGGAATGTTTGACCATTCTTCCAGAAGTGTATTTGTGAGATCAGGCACTGATTTCGGACGAGAAGGCCTGGCTCACAGTCTCCACTCTGCCTAAAGCTGGCCAAAGATGGATCAAATCTCGGCCTGTTCAGCAGGGACTGGCTGAGATTAATTCCATCTACATGCAGGCTGGTTGTACTGAAGTCAATGCATTCAATCACTGCCTACCTATAGCTGTTAGCAGTAATCATTGTTTTCTGCCAGCAAGGAAGGCTCCCCACTGGCGAACACAACAGCTTCGTGGGATGGATTACCCCATCAATACTGACTGTGTTGTTGGGGAATCAAGCAATTTTCTTTCCTTCCACCCGTGCTGGAAGGAAAGAAAATTGTATCATCTATAGCCTGCTTAGCTTCTTCCAGGGAGACATCACCTTCTCCTGTTGCCTGTCCTTATGGAAGGTTTGTTGACAGTCTAAACACTTCCGTCCAAAACATCTTCTCAGGCACGCATGTGATTGGAAAGGTCATAAAAAGTTACAAACTGCTAACGGCTCTTGTAATTGTCTGTAACTGTCTCATTTATAACCATAGTGAACATGACACACTCCAATGCTGATCATCATAACCAGAAAAGAGGATACGATGCTAAATTTTGACTCTATGCTAGTTATGGGAAGAGTAAAAGTGTACTGTAAGGAGATAAAGAATTTATAGGACAGATAGGCAGCAACTTATCTTTTCCCAATGTTACTGTGTTTGAAAAAGAACTTTAGAAAAGTCCAATTACCAGAAAAAATGTCATAGTTACATACCAAACCCATCTGCATCTGTTTATTAATTAGACTCTGGAATAATTTTTTTCAAATCTAACACAACCTTATTCATTAAGGCTTTCAGTGCATTGCCCACAGTAACCAGTAAAGAATTCTTCTTGCATAAATCTGTAATCTTATTAAGTCGACAGGCAGTCGAAATGATGCATGTGGAAAATCGGTTAAGCTGTCAAGTACACTAAAGTGTACTTGGGGCTTACATTTGCTTATTGACAGCAACAGTTGGCCATTCAGTAGTGATATTTCTTGTCACTCAGGGCCAGATTTCCATCACTTGAGCCTATAGACACACAGCCCTTGGCACCCAGATGAAAATTTGAGATGGATGATTGCACAGAAGGAAGCTTCCTCTTCCCCCTATAGGCAAGGGTGATGTGCCTACTGGTAAATCCGATCATGTTGTTACTAGACAGACGTAGTAGTTGACTGCCCATACAGATGTAAGAAGAGTGATTACAGCCCTCTAGCTGTGCTCATTGAAAGTTGTAAGTGTATTAAACAATAGATACTGCAGCTGCTGGCAGTAGGGATTATCTTTTCAATCTTTTGATGTCTATTGATCTGGGGGCATTGCAGGAAGGACATTTTTTGTGCCAATTTACATCTTTTTTCTGTGTTGCAGTAGCAAATGCATGCTAAAGTGTATTGTGCCACTCGTTAACATGTATTGCCTTAAGATAGCTCATAAGGGTTGCCAACACACCACAACACAGGCAAAATTGGGTAGGCACTATTTCTTTGAATGTAGCACACTTCAACACAACAGGTTTTGAGGCACACTGCAGTGGAAGTGTGTTTTATTAGTGTGTTGGGGGGGCCTTTCAAAAATTAATGGCATGTCAACCAAGTGTGGAATGCACTTTGCAGTGAATTGTGGTGATGTCTGTGTGCCACAGTGCAAAAAGTGTTACTGGACACTTAGAAAAAGCTTTCTTTTAGTTTTTTTTATGTTAATTACAGAAATAAGGTAGAGAGGTAAAGTAGATGGGTGAAAGCAACCTAATCTAATGTATGTGTGTGTGTGTGTATATATATATATATATATATATATATATATATATATATATATATATATACACAGCTTATAATGTGTGTATTGTATGCTTTTAGCAAGATTGTGCAGGCTGAGAACCAATCTACAATGCATACTTTGTTCTGAACTGTGCATTTTTCTTTTTATATACTGACACATTATTTCAATTGCATTACATATCCAATATGCTGAAGACAAGTTATGTTTCTTGAATAGCTTTTTATTAATAACCACCAATGATATCAAAATCAAGTGTTCCAACAGTCTTTTTTTTTTGTATCTGAAGGAACTTAATTTATTTCTGAAGTCGTTTTGGCTGTGTGTTCTTATATGGTATATATTTTGATTATAAAAAAGAACATAATGTGCATTTTAATAATGTCTCTAACTGAACCTTGAAGTTCATTTCATTGGAAATAATTATACTGTTTTAATATAGTAATTGCCGTAGTTAGATTTTCAATTTATTATTTAAGTGTTTTAACATAAAGTTAAAATCTCTTTATAAAACTGTAGTTGGGCTTTTAAAAGCTTGTAAATGTAGCAGAACATTTTTCTTGCAAAAAAAGTGACAATATTTTCTTATAGTTCTGTGCTTTTTGGAAATGCTTCTGGTACATACGCAGATCAGACCTGTGAAAATGTGTCTTTTTGGGCATTCTAATAACAGGTTTGACCATCCTTGTACAAGGTCCTAACCACTCAAGACCAGGGGTGGACTGACCATTTGGAAACTCGGGCACTGCCCGAGGGCCCGGGGTCAGTAGGGGGCCCCATGAGATACCCCTGGTACCTTTTTCATAGGCTTTTTTGAGTTTGGGCAAGGACACAGGGGCCCCATGATCCCCTATTGGCCGGGGTCCCCATGAGTTGTCAGTCCGCCCCTGCTCAAGACCATTATGAGGATAACAGGATCATTGGTTTTCAGAGTTACATAGAATTTGCAAAAATCATATCTTTTTAGTGCATTATAGCAAACCCCGTCAAAATGGTACATACCCATTTGATTGGTGACTGTAGGTTAAAAAAGTTGCCTAATATCTGCTTTTTTGGTCAGCTCCCCAGCATGATGACTGGACAATGAAGGAGCAGCAGACCACGGTTGTGGTTCTTTTTCCTCCTGTAAACCAGTTCTCAATGCTAGACTGACAGCTCTGCCCAATCCATTAGAGCTTGATTGGCTCTCACGTTGTGCCTTCCATCTCAGGCTGCTGTGTGGGGAAAACAGGCAAAACTTAAAGTAAATTGTAGTTGTTAAAATATATTAAAAACCAAAAACTTGTTTTTTAGTTTTGGATAGAGCAGCTTACCATTAAAGCCCTTGTAATTTTTTTGTTATTTGCTTTAGGGAGATAACACTTTACACCATGTCCCAAAGACACAACAAAAAGAATATTCCATCTTAGACATTTGACATTGGAACATTGTAAGATCTTCTTCACCACCTGTGCTGGGCAGAGTCATGAATGTGATTTCACATCCCTTTCTGTGCCTTTAATAATCGTCTCCATGACAAACAGAGTATATTTCCTCTGTGGGAAACAGACATCAATAAAAAAAAAGCTTTGTCTTTAGATATGCCTCTAAGAGAAATCTCACACAGTCTAATATTTCTAAATATGTAAATTGGAGGCACTAAGATAGGTCTATACTGCAGTGTATAATGACTCTAAAATATAGGCAGCTCTCTAACAAAAAAAGATCTCAAGGGTGCCTCCAGTGAGTATAGTAAGGAAGTACCACTCGCCTGATCCCTTCCAGAATTGCAAACAGAATGCAGCGATTAAGACGGTCACCGGCTTGAGAGATAGTACGGGGTCCCTGACAAAATGTAATAGGAAATAGCAAATCGTAGAGATGAATCTCCTGATCAGACATCCTGGTCAGTTAACAACAACATTCCTCTCATGTGAATCATCTAAAGCAGGGGTCTCCAAACTGTGGTCCAGGGGCCGGATGAAGTCCTTTGCTAGCCCTTATCCAGCCCTTGGAACACTATTCCTTCCAATGATATTATTATTATTATATAGTATTTATATAGCGCCGAAGGGTGTGCTCAGCGCTGTACATTATAGTGAGGGACAGTACATGAGACAATACAGTACAATACAATACACGAGGGGTTCGAGGGCCCTGCTCTTTCGAGCTTACAATGAAGCACTTCCTCCCATTGACACCAACAATAGGTCACTATTTTTCTCCCACTAATACCAATGATGGGGTACTATTTTTTCCCCCACTGGCCACAATCCAGCCCCCCCAAGTCAGAAGGACAGTAAAATGGCCCTTTGTTTGAAAAGTTTGGAGACCCCTGATCTAAAGTAAAGCCATGCTTCTGTCCTTATATGGCCAAGATTTGGAGGCTGGAGGCTTTTGTAACTAGTTGTTTTGTGACTTTGTACTACTGTACGATTACTTCTTAAATGTTTTTGTTTTTTATTTTTACATGTTCAAAATAAACTGAACAAAACAAAAACAAAGAATTCATAGTAAGCCACCATATTATTTAGGAAATATGTAATATGCAATTTCCCCAATAAGTATATACTGTACATGTCTGATGGGTGCCAAAAAAGTGTTTACTTCAACAAGTCCAAAAATAACTTTCCTGTATATTTCCTTCCCCTTCATCGAGGTATTTATAAAAAGGAATATGAACCATGTGTATGTAAATAATAACACAATATTTTTTTTATTGTTATTACTTACATACGAGGTGGTATCAAAAAGTTTCGAGACTAGCTCTGTTTACAAGAAAGCGCTATCACCTTCAAAATAGTCACCTTGAACAGCAATACAGCACTCCAAGCATTCCTGCCTCTTCTGGAATCCGTATATGTTTTCAAAACAGCGACCTTTGATCTGGATCTTCATCTTTGGGAAGAGGGCTAAGTCCGCAGAGGCCAAATCTGGCAAGTAGGGTGTGTGCGGATGTGAGATCATGTTTCTGATGAGAAATTTACGTGTGAGGAAAGCTCAGTGACAGGGTTCAGGGAGGATTGCCTGGACTCTTCCATATGACACATAGACAATGGCAGAAAGTTTGGTGATTGTTCTCCAATGATCATCATGCATAAGTTGCCAAAATGGTTTCAACATTTTTGGGGGTTGAGCTTATTGAAGGTCTTCCTGATCTCTCGTTATCTTCTGCTCTTGAAGTGCGCATGCCACTCAAAACACTGTGAACAACTCATTGTAGCATCACCGTAAACTTGTCGAACCATGTCAAACATCTATGTGGCAGATTTGCCCAGTCTCAAGCTGAATTTTACGTTTGCTCTTTGTTGTAACTTTGTCCCTGATGAAATTGCAGACGTGGTAACGCATGTGGTCAGAATAGCACCATTTGCAGAGCTTGCGATGTACACAGGACAATGTTTTTCAGCATACTGACATATGAAGGTCGGTGCTTCCTGTGACTGTGTACAGCCCTGTGCTGCCATCTGTTGGCTTGTTACAAAACTAATCTTTTTGATACCACCTTGTACACATTTTTTATATTCCATTTAGACCTCATAAATACCATAACCCCTGTACACATTAACTTTTGATAATAATCAAAATCTTTATATTTGTTAACTTCAGACTATGATGATGGTTGTATTATATTTTGAGTATGATGATCGTTGTGTTGTCTTTGGACTGTGATAATGGTTGAGTTATCTTTGGAATATGATGATGGCTGTGCTATCTTTGGACAATAATTATGGTTGGGTTGTTTTTGAAAAATGATGATGGTTCAGTTATCTTTGGACTATGACGATGGTTGGGTTATCTTTGGACCAGGGGCAGACTGACAACTCATGGGGCCCCCAGGCAATAGGGGACCATGGAGCCCGTGTCCTTGCCTACACTCAAACCACACCCAAAAAAGCCTATGAAAAAGGTACCAGGGGCATCTCATGGGGCCCCTTTCTGACCCCGGGCCCTCGGGCACTGCCTGAGTTCCCAAATGTTAGTCTGCCCCTGCTTTGGACTATGATGATGGTTGTGGTATCTTTGGACTATGATGATGGTTATGGTATCTTTGGACTATGATGATGGTTGGGTTATCTTTTGACTATGATGATGGTTGGGTTATCTTTGGACTATGATGATGGTTGGGTTATCTTTTGACTATGATGATGGTTGGGTTATCTTTGGACTATGATGATGGTTGGGTTATCTTTGGACTATGATGGTTGTGGTATCTTTGGGCTATGATTATGGTTGTGGTATCTTTGGGCTATAATGATGGTTCTGTTATGTTTGGACTATGATGATGGTTCTGTTATATTTAGAATATGATGATGGTTGGATAATTTTGGACTATGATGATTGTTGGGTTATCTTTGGACTATAATGGTTGTGGTATCTTTGGGCTATGATGATGGTTCTGTTATATTTTGGACTATGATGATGGGTCTGTTATGTTTGGTCTATGATGATGGTTGGGTTGATGATGGTTGGGTTATGTCCTTGCCTACACTCAAACCACACCCAAAAAAGCCTATGATGGTACCAGGGTTCATGGGTTCTGACCCCGGGCCCTCGGGCACTGCCTGAGTTCCCAAATGGTTAGTCTGCCCCTGCTTTGGACTATGATGATGGTTGTGGTATCTTTGGACTATTGATGGTTATGGTATCTTTGGACTATGATGATGGTTGGGTTATCTTTTGACTATGATGATGGTTGGGTTATCTTTGGACTATGATGATGGTTGGGTTATCTTTTGACTATGATGATGGTTGGGTTATCTTTTGACTATGATGATGGTTGGGTTATCTTTTGACTATGATGATGGTTGGGTTATCTTTGGACTATAATGATGGTTGGGTTATCTTTGGACTATGATGGTTGTGGTATCTTTGGGCTATGATTATGGTTGTGGTATCTTTGGGCTATAATGATGGTTCTGTTATGTTTGGACTATGATGATGGTTCTGTTATATTTAGAATATGATGATGGTTGGATAATTTTTGGACTATGATGATTGTTGGGTTATCTTTGGACTATAATGGTTGTGGTATCTTTGGGCTATGATGATGGTTCTGTTATATTTGGACTATGATGATGGGTCTGTTATGTTTGGTCTGTGATGATGGTTGGGTTATCTTTGGACTATGATGATGGTTGGGTTATCTTTGGGCTATGATGATGGTTGGGTTATCTTTGAGCTATGATGATGGTTGGGTTATCTTTGGGCTATGATGATGGTTGGGTTATCTTTGGGCTATGGTGATGGTTGGGTTATCTTTGGGCTATGATGATGGTTGGGCTATCTTTGGGCTATGATGATGGCTGATTTATCTTTAGACTACATTGAAAAAAACACCCTACATTTCCAGTCTAATATTAAGCAGGGTGAGGTTTCTGTTAATAGGGATACATAAGAGTTCAGACCTGTGTTAGGAGACTAGACAGTGACCACGCAGAGAAGTAACTGCAGACTCGGTAAATATGGCCATATTGTATTGGTTAAATCAGCCATTTCTCTTAGGGGAAATTAAAACTTATCTGGTACACTGAATTACCAGAAACTACTGTATGTAGTGCAGGGGCCTCTGTGATTGAATATAAATTGATTGAATAGATTAGGTAGGTCCTCATATTACATAGTTTTGGTAAATCTAAAGTTGATTGTACAAAAACTGTTCGGTCATATTGTTACGTGTATGATGACCCTAGCAACACAAAGGACTGGATGCTCATAACCAGAAGCTATTAGTCATGTAAGCACTGGCTGTTAGAAAATATTTTCTGGTCAGTTATTTTCTGCACTTCCTTTTTAAAGCCTATTCTTTTGTCTATTTCTCTTAACAGAATAATCTTACATCTAAATGTGTTTACTTCCCAAGGTATTTACTGGACAAATCATCAGATGATGGAATTTTCGAAATAGATGAAGAGACGGGTGAAGTTAGAATAACTAAACCACTGGACCGTGAGACCTCTGGCTGGCACAATCTGACTGTTCAGGCAATGGAAGCAGGTTTTCTTACGTCTTTATTTTACCTCCGTCAGCGTACCAGTCAGTGTCATGTATCCATTTTAATGGTCTGCTTTCATCCTATATTCAGAGCTTATCAGCTCAGGGCATTCTGTCTAACTATTGTTGGTCATAGATGAGCTACATTTTCATGCAGTGCAATTACAATAAAAAAAAAGCTCTCACTTTCAGCTTACAGACGATGAAAAGTCACAAATCATTGTTCCTGTATGAGCATTGACTGTATTCAAAAACCCATTTTGACTATTAGGTTAGGAAACAGTTGGTGAGCCTTTTAAGAGAAACTGAAGTCTGGAAGTGGTGTCAGAGGGTAAAGGACTAGTTAGAATTGTCTGTGGTCTCACTGCAGCTGATTTTTTCATGTCTGGGTGGAGACAGCTATCTTTCTCAGAGTCTCCAGAACAGTGAGCAGCACAGTAGAGACATTACCAAATATCACTCCAAATCTCCTAAAATAAACCATGAGAGGCAGCAGTGCCTTAGATCTTTCAGTGCATTTGGGCAGGGCTGACTCACCCGATGCATACGGGCCATTTTGCTCATTTTCACTCTTCTCCTTCCTCCAGACTCTCCGGTGTATTTTCTCACTGATGTCTGGGACCAGGCGAGGCTGCATTCATGGGACATCAACATTATGGTGGTACCCTGACTTTGAAGCGAGCCATACATCCTGGTGTCTCTGCTCAGGAGGATGATTTCCACCAGTCCATCTTGACTTTACCATCTCTCTCTTAGTGACAAAACAGGGTCCTGCCAGGCACCAGTGCAGACCCCATGCATAATCAACCCTTTTCTCTCCCGTACCATGAGTACTTGTTGCTCCTAGAAATGACATGCCACCACTTTACCCCCTGCGTGTGCATTACAGGCCCAGGTTCTTCCATACGCCATTACCACCATGCACCTCTTTAAGTAACCTCAGACCAGGCTAGGACAAAGTTTCAGATGCTGTACTGGAAACTCTCAGCATAGCCGTTCCAAACCAAAGTGCACAGTCTTATCCCTAAAACAGTTTCTAACACAGGCTTGTGGCTGTCCAGTGTACCTGCACAGACTAGAGTCCATACAAAGCAGAGTCCACAGTGGCAGATCTGCAGAGCTGGTGCTCTACGGGGAAGACTGCAGGTCCCAACAAGCCCCCTACATGTGGAAGTTTCCTAGAGGCAGGCAAGGCTCTGTGATGTGGCTGGAGATTACATGCTATGTCTTGTCTGTGCCTCTTCCCATGTAGACTGTCTGACTGGGCAGAACCCACCCCCCTTTTATTATCAGCACAGGGAGAGAGGTAGAGCTCAGTAGAAAATGCAGTAAACAGAGTAACTGTTTCCCTCCCCAGCTGGGGCAGCACTAACCAGCATTTCACCCTGCCTACATGCAGATTTACAATAATAAATAAATGAACCCCTCCATGCTATGACAACAAATCCCAAAGAAAAAAAAAGGAAAAACCAAGATAGGTTGATCAGCAGCTATTAAAAGCTATACCCCTTATGAATAATTTTACCAGTGTTTACAGCACTAAAATCAATACAATGGTTTATGCACTGAAAAATTCCTATCATTGAATATTCAAATTCACAAAGTCCAATAGTGTATATTCTGAAAATTTCAACCACCATGTGACTTTAATCTTGACTTTAGGAGCCGGCCACCACTCCTTAAGAAATGCACTTACCGAAAGGGCATGTCCATCTTTCCTCAAGAATAGGCAAACACAGCTTCAAATGCTTCCAGCACAGGGTGTCTCCTCTTTAACATTTCTCCTTTCAGGGATAAATTCACACCCCCCCCCAAAATGTGACTGTATCCAAGATCCAAGAGGATCAACATGCACAGCTGCATTGCTTTTAAGGCTTTGTTCACACCAGCCTTCGGCTTTTTTGTGTGTGGGCTAGTATCTGTTGTGTACCAGCAGTGAGGGGATGTGCTGTTTCAGCACATCACACTGTTTACAGTTTTTGCTCTTTTTCTTTAGTTTATTGAAGTGTCACAAAATGAAACTTTATTAAAGTGTATGTGGCACAGCTACAGCAAGTAGAATATTTGGTGCACTCCGAGATGGAGTAAGGAGGTAGATAAGGCACAAAATAGTATATATTAGAAAGTATAAGTAAAAATAATAATAATAAATAGTAAGCATATAATCAATGGTGATGGAATTAGGGAAAATAAATCATAAACAATATACTGTAATAAATATACAAACAAAATGTCCTTAGAAAGAGTCCTATATAATTTTGATGCAACATGGAGTGGAAGCAGCTGGCCAATAATGAGCTAGAGAGGCCCTGTGGAAGATCAGGAAGAAAGCTGTGGTGCCCTGTAAGTGCAGTATAAAAGCTTTGTAATGAATAAAAAGTGTAGTAATACAGTCCACTCACAAAGCTTAAGTAGGTTTGCGCTTGTAAATTAATAAGCTGTGGTGCAGCAAGAAGCAGTTACATTCAGTGTGGTGGGCTGCAATACAGAAAAAATGCAGCATGCCTGCATTTTATCACGCAGCTCCACACCGCACATCACTGCTATTTTGTGGTGCGAATGAGAGACATAGAAAACATTTTTTTTAGCAGGTCACCTATAAGGCCTATAAATAAAATACATTTTAATCATATTATCTTGAGATGTGCTGATAGCTTTTGGATGACATAATATATACACATAGACTGTGTTATTGTTAATCACCAATACTGTCTGTGTGCATTTTTAATAAAAGTTATTCTAACATGGGATAAAAATGTGCCATTCTGCAAGTATTATTTGTCACTGTGAAAAAGAAACTCTTACTCTTGGTTGTCTACAGGGCTTGAAATTTCCACTCGTCTGCTCGCCAATGGCGAGTGGAAATTATGGTGGGGCGAGTGTGTCCCTCAGGGCAGGGGCGTATCTACCGCGAGGCAAACAAGGCGTTTGCCTAGGGTGGCAATTTTTAGGGGGGCAGCAGCACCCCCCAGAAGAAGGGACCTTTTGGGCAGCAGTGGACAGAGCCATGCAGGGCCGCCAGCAGAGGGGTCGCACCGGTTCCCTTGCAGTGGCCCGGACAGCAGGAGAATCAATGTGGGGGAGGCCAGTTGCAGAGCGATACTCCTGTACCTCTCCCTCCAGCAGCTGATGAGCCAGGACCAGGGGACAGCCTGGAGCAGGGAGAGGAGAAGTGTTGGAGAGGAATAAGCCCACAGCAGGTGAGCTGTGCTGTGTTCTATGGGATCTCCCTGCCTCCCTCCCTACACTGACAAATCGTATAGGGCTGTAACCCCCCCCCCCCCTTCCTGCTGCCCGGAGATCAGCAGCCCTTTGAGAAGGTGTTTGTGTGCAGCCCCATACGATGTGAGAAAGGAAGAGAGAGAGATGGGGAAGAAAGAGAGAAGGAGAGAGAAGAAGAGAGAGAGGGGGGAGAGAGAGAGAAGAGAGAGAAGGAGAGGGGGGAGAAGAAGAGAGAGAAGGAGAGGGGGGAGAAAGAGAGAGAAGAGAGGGGAGAGGGAGAAGAGAGAGAAGGAGAGGGGAGAGAGAGAGTGGGGGGGGGGGGGGGGGAAAAGAGAGAGGGGGGGAGAGAGGAGAGTGGGAAGAGAGAGAGAAAGAGGAGAGTGGAAGAGAGAGAGGAGAGAGAGATAGCGAGAGAGAGAGAGAGGGGGGGTGTATTTCTGTGTATGTACATGTATCTGTGTGTATGTGTGTGTATACATGTGTCTGTATGTGTGTGTGTGTGTACATGTGTCTCTGTGCGTGTGTGTACATGTTTCTGTATGTGTGTATGTGTGTGTATGTACATGTTTGTGTGTGTTTGTTGGTAGCGAGTAACCCTAAGGCCTGGCTAGTAGCTCAGGACTTGAAATTTTAAGCCCTGAAATCAGATATCCAATGTTTTGCTCAGACTGTCAAATATAATAAAAATAATAAAAATGATATGTGACACTCAGAAGCAGCTGGCCATTATAGAAAGTATTATAATTAAGAAAGAAGTATGGCAATGGAGATAGCTTTGAGGAATCCCAATCTTGCCTCAACCCACACTTCAGCATACTCCAGCAGTGTTAGTAGGAAAGGGTTACAGTTTCAAACTTGTTTGCAGCAGAAAACCAGTAGAGTGAGGCCCTTTTCACACAGGCTTTCCAATGAAGTCTGCCTGTCAGTTTTTGCCCCAATTTACACTATGACTCGCACAGGAACGCTCAGCAGTTTCCTGTTTGATTCACATGCGATTCAGTGCTGTGCAACTTGAGCCCATTCATTTTGAATGGACTCATATCATCTTGCATTGCATCAAAAGTTTTGGAAATGCACTGAAACTGGATTGCTTGGTACATACGCACTGCATGTGTGACCTACATTTGGGGTGTTCTTAACATGATCATGGGTTTTCACGCACCGTGTTGTGGTGTGAACAGGGATTTTAAGGCAGACCTCATTAAAAGCTCCATATAGGTCTGTGAGCAGGCATATGTAAACAGACTTGTGTCCATCCAGATCCGGAAAAAAAATGGAAAAGGGCGACACCCATATAGCCATTACTGGTCCACCATAGACCTCTGTCAAAATGAGGACACAAACTGAAGGAATATGGGTATCACAACACCGGCATTCCTTCCGTTCAGCTTTCATTTTTAGGAAGGAGGACAATAATAGTAGCCTGCATGTTTCAATGTGATAAGTAAATGTGATGCAATGCAAGGGAAAAGAGCTTTGAAATTCAAAATGCTGTTTTGGTGGTGGTCTAGTGAGAGGATATTGAACACTAGTCTCTAAAAAAAAAAAAAAAAATGCAATGTAGCACTCACCACTGAAGGGGTTGCTGGGGAAAACTCAGATCTCAAAGTCCTTCAGGAGCAGCTGTAAGTATTGATGGAGATAGAGGGCACAGCCGGCTAGTTTGCAATTCTGTAAGAGCAGTCACAGTCCTTGTAGCAATCTCTGGCATCTAACCCTTAAAGCACAAGTACACCTGGAGCTCCAGACAAAAGGCCCTACTCACAATATCCAGAGACAGCTCCCCAACCAGATTCCCTCTAACAGTGAAAGGTTTCCCTCTCCAGCCCAGTTTTCATAGGTAGCATCTTTCAACAAGTTTCTTTAGGTCCAGTTTCCTCCAGGCCCTTCTTTCACACAGGCTGTCTCCAAGGGGGGAGACCCCAGGAGAGAGACCCCTTATCAAACCCTTCCAAATATTTAGCTTCTCCCCAGCCGCACCTCCTAGGCCAGCCTCCCAGGGTTTGGGAAAGATAAATATTCATAACCCATCCTACCAAATCTACTCACCCTACCTACCCAATCCTACTTTGTTTCTGGAAACTTCTTCCAAAGGCAGACAGGCGCAATCAACTACGAGGCTTAGGGATAGATCTGACCAGACCTGAAAAATAAATTGCTGCTCAGCTGGGTACAGCAGAGCCAAAAACTAAAGCCAGCCTAGGGCAGGACACTACACCAATTACTTTATATGTGTGGTGAAGATGTACGAGTCTTGGAAGGGCATTGAGAACTATTTTAGTGTGACAAAGAGGAGACATCAGAGGAGGAGGGCAGTGTTGAAGAAAAAATATCTGCTGCAATTATATCCCCAGTTTGCTGAGTATGTGCATTTGACCACCACTGATTGTCCATTAGGAAAGAATAATATCTACAGCAGGTGGTTCTGTCACTCCAAGAGTGCTCAATTTTTCCTGCAGCTGTCAAAAGATGAACCTGAATATACAAGGTTCAGCTACTTCTGCTGAAAAGCTCCATCACCAATGATTACTATTCCCTGCACCTGCCCCAATCTGCTATTTATTTTTTTCTGTTGACTTCACTCCCATCCCACTTGCTGTTCTTTCTTGTACAGCTTTGGTTAATTCTTCACAAGCAACACCTTCCATGCCCACACACTAGCTACCGATTGAGTTGAGACTACAGCAAACATCTCCACTTATATTTTTTTTTTTTCATCATCCAGTGCCTACTGTCAGCTGCCAAACTCCACTGCTTCAAATAAAAATGTAAAAAGCAAATATTGCTTGACCAATGTCCCAGTAGAAGACCACAAAGAAGAAAGAAGGGGCGCTGGCACAATTTAATCTAAAGGCTTTAGAGAAACACACCAGAGAAACAGCTAAATACACAGATTTAGTACATATAAGGAAGCTGTTTTATCTGGCCACACACCTAAATAGTTCCTTTGTGCTGCTTCCTTCTCCCCCCCCCCCCTCTCTGAGCACTGCTGTACATGGACTGTAAGAGGGTTATGCCAAGTCAAATTCAGGCACTTACACTGCTTGCATTCAGAAAATACATTAAGGCAAGCCTTCCCTCAAAAGTAAAAGTGCTGCCCATCCTACTCTCCCAACCCCCTAACATATATGAAGTGTTTTTGCTTTTGGGAATGGGTAACTTTTTTGACAGGTATCCACTCTCACTTACTCGATTTTCCCCTAGGCGAGACTGATGCTCACTTGTGATATCCCCTGCCTGCAGCCTATTGGGACACATCATACGTCCCTGGAGGCTGCAGGACCAATCCCACTGCACTGCTTTGATTCCCATGTGGCACTACTCCCTTAGGAGTTGCTAACATTTTGGGTCCCTCTATAGTCCAGCACAGCCAGGCAACACTCATTTTCCATTCGGACTTGCATCTAGGAGACAGTAACCAGTCCTTGAGCTTGTTTTATGGATTTTGTTAGAGGAATTAGAGCTTGGACAGGGTAAGGGGTGTATGGGATGCCAAAGGTAAATGGCAACAGAGGATAATCTTCTTGAACTACTGTATGTACGAGTCTCTTTTAGCAGCAAAAGAACAGATCCTTCTTCTTGGAGAGCTAGCCAGCATCTCCTGTAGCACTACCCCAGACCCTAGATACTCCTTATCCAGCTGTTCTGGGTGAATCCCTGGGCAGAGAATCCAGTGCCTGTTGCTTTACGAGAAGACAGTCCCAGGTGGTAAGCCAATCCAGTTTCCCACCAGAGTGCTGCTTTCCCTTACTGGCCCAAGTGGTACAGGTCTAGTCACTCATTCCTTCTCCTTTGCTGCTGCGGGGTTGGTGGCTGCTTTCAGGCCTTCTGCTGGGCCTCTCCTTCCCTACTGCATAGGTGGTCCTTGCTCTGGGGGCCACTGAGGTAATGAGTGTTCCTCCTTTCATGTTTCCCTGCCTGTAGGTGAGCCTCTGCCCATCTGGGCTACCTCCCAGACTACTGCTCTCCAGCCTCACTTCTCCATCTTCCAACCAAACTCTCCTGCTGCTGAGCAGGCTCTCTCACTTTTAAGGGCTGTCCTGGCCCCATGCCAAGCCTCCTGTTGGAAATTGCCCAGAATCCTTCAAAAGTGCCAATCAGCCACTCTTTACCTCTGCCCACTCCTTCTAGGCTTCTTTCTCCAAAGTTCCAGAGCAGGGTGAAGTCTCAGGGAACTGGTCTACAGAGCCTCTCGGCCCCTGACCACAATTTGACCCCCTGACTGTCACACCTGGGCTGCTACTCAGTCCCTATCTATCAATTGGAGTCTAGCTCCCCCTAGCTACCTAGGAGGGGGCTACATGCACATGCAAGGTGGGATGCCAGCTGTGATCTGATCAGTAAGTCACAACTCGCTACAAGTCCAAGATGGCAACACCAGAGGGCAGAAGCCCAGAATAAATGGACCTCTGGCAGGACAGTGCTGGCATCCATGGGTTGGAAAGTGTTTGTTTCCTAAAAGTCAGCAGCTATCGAAGTTCCTCTTTAATAATGTATTAGCGATTACAGAGCTGCTTTAATTTGTGTCTTTTATATCTGCCTGGATGTCAGATTTAATTTTGACAGTTTTCAAAACTGTGCTCAGTTCAAAAAAGTGAGAAATGTGCGAAAGCTCAAAAAGGAGCATTATTTCTGTGATTTTTTTATAAAAAGAAATTTATTAATGACCATAATTGCATTGTTTTAAAATAGTAGGAGGTTTTTTCATCCATGAAGGATCAAAGGGGCATATTGGGTGAATGGTCCGCAAATTAAATTCTAGGAAGCTCAGCCATCTGTAGCGAAGAATCACTTATCATTGCTATGTGTAATCTTTACAGATGATCCTCAGAAGATTTCATCGCTCGCCCTGCAAATTCGCATCCTGGATGTAAATGATAATCCTCCTGAGCTGGCTACACCTCATGAGTCTTCTGTTTGTGAGGATGCTTTACCTGGGCAGGTAATGCACCACAGCCCGAGAAATGGAATTGAATGATCACTTGGACCAACAAACTTTGAGGTTTCATTTAAAGAATATTTCCACCTGGCACAAACAATTTATGGATGGTTAGGATTTGAAGGAAAAATGCTGCTCAGTAGTTTCATTTATCTGCTGTGCACATTTTTACTTCTCTGAAGGGATCACTACAAATTGTTGGGACTTTTATTATGAGATTATGAGAAGAACGTCAGGTAAAAAAACATAAAAGCTGGGCCAAAAGAGATCTAATCCTATAACCACTCCACCCTACTTACTTGTGTCTAGTTTAGTTATTCCCAACATTTAGCCAACATATTGAAGTGGACATAATACCAGAACTTTTGGGGGTTTTGGATAAAATGTGGATTAGGGAACCACTGGGGGATTCCAGGGAAAAAAAGGGTTAAGAGCCACTGGGGGATTCCAGAATGAAAAAAGGGTTAAAAAGGGTTCCAGAATGGAAAAAAAAGGGTTAGGAGAGCCACTGGGGGATTCCAGAATGGAAAAAGATTTGGAGGTCCTAGTAGATCACACGCTCAGTAATGGCATGCAATGCCAAGCTGCAGCAAGTAAAGCAATCAGAATATTAGCTTGCATAAAAAAGGGTATTTACTCATAAGATAAAACTATAATTTTTCCACTTTACAAGACTCTGGTTCAGTCACATCTTGAGTATGCCATCCATTTCTGGTCATCAGTCCTCAAGAAACATGTGCTAGAACTGGAGAAAGTCCAGAGAAGGACGACAAAGCTAATATGGGGACTCAAGGACCTCAGTTACTAGGAAGAAACTACAAACATTAAATGCATTCTCCCTGGAGACAAGATGTTCGAGAGGTGATATGATAGCAAAATACAAATACCTCAATGATGATTCTGGCACAGGGAGGAAACTTGAGTTTCAAGGAGCTTAAGAAGATACGCGGCCACTCATTGACATTTGAGGAGAAACAGTTCAACCTTAAACTATGTAGGGAGTTCTTTATTGTTAGAGTGATACGAATGTGGAACTCCCTCCCACAATCAGTGGTGTCAGAGGGAAGGGTCAATAGTTTAAAAAACTCTTAGATCGGCATCTTAGCGAACGTAATATACAAGGATATGGGAAATGATATTGACATAAACACACACACATACACACATATACATAGGTTGAACTAGACTAATTTCTTTATTCAACCCTACCAACTATGTAACTGTGTAACCTTTGACTGATTTGCATTGCTGTCTGTGTCCCTACTGGGGAGATTCACCCTCTCTATGGGCAGCACAGAGGCAAAGTGGTCAGCACTTCCACCTAGCAGCACTCTGGTCGCTGGTCCAAATCCCAACCACAGCACTACCTGCACTGAGTTTATATGTTCTTCCTGTGCCTGTGTGGGTTTCCCCCGGGTAATCCGGTTACCTCCCACACTTCAAAGACATGCTGGTAGGTTAGGCTGGCTCCTGTCTAAATTGTCCCCAGTATGTATGAATGTGGCTTATTACAAGCTCCTTGAGGGCAGGGACTGATGTGAATGTACTATACAGTTGCAAGAAAAAGTATGTGAACCCCTTGGGATTACGTGGAATTTTGCATGAATTGGGCATAAAATGTGCTCTGAACGTCATCTAAGTCACAACAATAGAAGAACATGGTCTGCTGAACATAATACTACACAAACATTAGATGTTGCCATGGTTTAATTGCACATAACATGTTAACATTCACACTGCAAGGAGGAAAAAGTATGTGAGGCCCTAGCTTAATGACTTCTCCCAGAGCTAATTGGAGCCAGGAGTGAGCCAACCTTGACTCCAATCAGTGTGATGATATTGGATGTGTTGCTGAAAGCTGTCCTGCCCTTAAAAAACACACACCTTTTTTGGGTTTACTGGTTTCAAGAAGCACTGGTTTCAAGAAGGACAATGACCCAAAGCATACAAGTAATTCAACAAAACAATGGCTGCAACAGCACAGAATACGCCTTCTGGTGTGGCCCAGTCAGAGTCCTGACCTCAACCCGATTGAAATGCTGTGGCATGACCTTAAGAGAGCGATTCACACCAGACATTCCAAGAATATTGCTACACTGAAACAGTTTTGTGAAGAGGAGTGGTCAAAAATTACTCCAGATCGTTGTGCAGGTCTGATCTGCAACTACAGGAAACGTTTGGTTGAGGTTATTGCTGCCAAAGGAGGGTCAACCAGTTATTAAGTCCCAAGGTTCACATACTTTTTCCTCCCTGCACTGTGAATGTTTACATGTTATGTGAAATTAAACCATGGCAACATCTAATGTTTGTGTAGTATTATGTTCAGCAGACTCTGTTCTATTGTTGTGACTTAGATGACATTCAGAACATTTTTTTCTTTTTTTCCGCCATCACTTTTCTATGTTTCTGTGTTTCTAAATTATCATGTTTTTTGGGGGTTTTTTTGCATGCTAGTCTCATATCGCAAACGGAATAGGTTACTGAAGTTACAAAAATTCACGACAGAATACAACTTCAGAAATGATATAATGTGCTGTATTGTGTTGTAATGTATCCTTTCGTTTCTGAGCATGGGCAGTCTTGGTCACTCGATTTTTCTGCACAAATACTATACTAATTATACGAAAATCATTCATTCTGTTATTGTACGAGAAACATTGTCGTGCTTGTCCCTTTGGTTATTTTCATATGAGCTGACGTGATAGACTCTCAAAAGCTGTGTACTAACGGATAGATTATTGGAAGATCGCTCCACATGCTTTTTTTGTTTTCACCTGATTTTCCCATTGTGGAATTACAGAACAAGTCTAGTTCAGTGTAACTAACTACTACTAGCAGTATCCCATTATTTCCTTTGAAGAGGCATACCAAAAAACACCTTAAAATTATCCAGTATTCCTTATTATCTCTTTCTCTGTAGAGCCATGTTTGAAAATGTTTGCCAAAAGTGCTTGTAACCTGTGGTGGCCTAATCAATTTTCAATTTACTGTGGATGGATGAATTGCTCTTGCAAAGATGTATTGGACTTTGCATATTGAGTTGTGTTAATAAATATTTTTTTGCAGCAAGTCACCATATTTCAGAAAACATTGTATGTGTGGTGTTATTTAAATTAAAAAAAAATAGGATTTAATTTACCTTTTTAAAAACACACTATCAAAGAATAACTCCACTTTTGTTGAGAAACAAATATCCTCTGGGTGATCTATGTACATTACAGGGATTTTAACAAACTTGGTTGCAGATTCCTACCTTTTGTTATTATAAAGAAACAATTATTTGTTTGTCTGTGTCCATGTGCCAAGTGAAGGAAAATGTTATTTCTATCTATCAATCAAATGTTATATCTATCAATCAACTGCTGCACCTGCAGGGCTCTAATAAGGAAAGTGGCAGGGTCTGCATTCCTTCCTTTGGGAGTATCTTACCAAAAATAACATTTTTGTTGCAGGAGATGCTCAAAATCTGACTTGTTTCCTAGTGTAGACTTCTGGGAAAATCAGTACGCCAATCACACAAGCAAGAAATAACATTTATGGGGGACATTCTGTATACCATCTGTGTACAGAATGCCTTCAGGTAGCCATATTGCACTCAATTTTACAGAAAGTTACAGCACTTCAGATTGAAAAGAAAAGGTAATTTTTAATAAAATCCAAATAAAATATGACTTGTGTAGGAATTTTATAGGCTATAATATTATTTTGTATTTGCTATTTCTTCCCCACAAAAGTGGAGTTAGCCTTTAATGTACAATATATCTAAAGCCAAATTTTAGAGTAGAAGGGTAGGGAATGGTAATTAAAAACCCTATCAGGTTTTTATTTGCCATCTGTGTCCCATTTAAGAGATTTGCCTTAATTTCCTGTTGTGTAGACATAACAAGTGAGAGTTGTTATAGCTCATAACAAGTAAGTGAGAGCAAATCTCTATAAAGTGAGATAAGTCCTCCTTAGAGAGTCGTCATAATAACATGTGCCTTCACTGGAAGATCCCTGCTTCTGTTCTGGTGACAACTCAAAATTTTGGATATCCCACCACTTTCAGTTATGCTGACAGTGGTCATCAGGACACATAGAGAAGCTAAGCCCCTAGCAGGACACGGACAGCGATAAAATTATGACAGGGGTTCTAACTCACCATTCAATCCACTTTCAGAAGACTGGTAGCTTCTTGCCTGTATTGCCAGATAAGATAACATTTAACCTGACTTATACTGAATGTAAGCACTGCATTACTATTTGTGTACATCAGAGTTACTGTAAATTTCCCATGCTTCTACAAATAATATCTGCTCATTGTACCGTAGCTCATTCAGACTATCAGTGTGGTGGATCGAGATGAGCCAATGGGGGGGCATCGGTTCTACTTCAGACTTGCACCTGACCCCAGTGCGGAGCATCACTTTACTCTGCTCAATGTCAAGGGTGAGCCTCCTGTCGGTCACCTGATATCCCATCTTCCATCTTTCTAAGTCATCCATAATTATGTAATCCTTATCCATCAAATGAGATCACACACAGCTGCCAAAACATGCATGTATTTTAACATATACCATTTATCATCTTGTGATAGTCACATTCTCAGTTGAGCAATATTAGCCAACAGAACGCACAGGCCCATTTCTTTATTAAAGATCACCAGTTTTCCTTCTCTTCCAAGTCTGCCCTCTCCATTTATCCCAAATAAAAACTAGATGTATTGTAGATACAAAATCTTCAAAGGGCCAATATTATTTATGAATTAGTGACTTGCTTTATGAAGGTCACCCCCTGATCACTTAGTTGAACCCCTTTCTCCTTTCCCCAATATACAATCACTATCCTTTTTTATGTTTTCTTAAAGGCAAATCATGTGCTTTATTTTAGAGTGTTTTGGGGCCCACTTACATTTTTGTGCGGTGCATTTGTGCACGTACATTAATGAGCATTACGTCCCAGTTATCGGACATTTAAAAAATGTTTTATGGTGCAATGCTATTCTTTGCAATGCATGTGCATTGCCTTATTGCTTTGTGGTACTATTCAAAACTGGACATATGCGATTCGTTTCATTACGAAAATGTTCATTAGTTGGTGATTCGGATGTATCTGAATTTCGGAAAGAATTTCAACAAATCCAAAATAAATTATAATGAAACACATTATCCAAATTCGAAAATGAATTAAAATTTTAAAATAAATTTAAATTTGAAAATTAATTTGAATTCAAAATGTAATAAATACAGTAAGGTATAGAAGTGAAAAAGGAAAATAATTTCTACTTTTAGAGAATAAAATATAAAAGAATAGAATAAAATAAGACAGAAAATTTTAAAATAGAATAACATAGACTAAAATAGAATCAAATAGAATAAAACAGAATCGAATAAAAAATAAAGGAATAGAATAAAATTGAATAGAAAATAAAGGAATTGATTAGAAAAAAAAACAGATTCGAATAAAATAAAACATATTGTATATTGCCATCTTATGAAATCTGAATTTCGAATTGAATTGAAAATAATGAATATAAAAAACAAATCCAAATATAAGAAACGAATTCCAAAAATAAATCATTCTAACATAACAAATATGAAAAACAAGATTATTAACTTAACGATTGATTCTGAAACAAAACAAAATTTTCCATCATGCACATCTATATTTAAAACGGACTTGCCTGTTATATTCTCCTGTTTTAAAACTCATTCCAGAATAGCCATGAATCTTGTTATTTGTGTTAGTGGCATAGCCTTGTAATGTTGTCACCTGATATTGTGTTTTTATTTGCGGACCCTCATTTTCTCCCCCTTACATTTTACCTTCTATGTTTCTCATTATACTATCATACTGTATTTTCCTCTTTAATACCTCTTCCTACAAAATCTTTTACTCCATATCTATCACCATAAATAAGCACACTGATCCAAGGGTTCCAAAGTGGTCATGTAACAATCTGCTGATGTAAAAAAATGGAAATGATCACATGAAATAAGTGCCAACAGCAAGGACATCAGCCAGACGAAATGGGAAATTTAAATGTGAATTCTCTTTACAGCTAATTAAAACTACACTGTTGAAATGTGTCACCCTAGTGAAGCAATCCCTATTGTCTTTCCTTAAAATCATATTTACTGACAGCACTGCTCAAAGCAATAAAGTCATAATTGGCTCAGAATACTGACCCTCCCCTTCCACTTTCTGTGGTGCTATACAAAAGATAAGAGTTCAAAACAGATTAAACTACTTATTATTTTCTTGTACAATACATTTAATCATTTTAATTGAATGAAAAACTGCACATGGCATTTTTTATGTTCATCCTTAGAAAAAGTAGATGTAAGGCATGGAATTGAATCTATTTTTTAATAAGTAGAGAGGTGTTGGTTGGGCTTGTATTCACTTCTGCAGCTCCACAATGTGGAGGTCTCCTCAGAAGCAATGGCCTCCCCAACTGAGAAATCCAAGTGATATTGACAAGAAGACTGCCAAATAATCTTAAGGGTCCATATCATTTATGCTTAAGAAAAATTAGACAAAAGGAATATTAAAGGTAGCCAAACAATTTTGAGGTCAAATAATCCTCATTCATCAGAGCTAAACATGACATATCAATAACTAAGATCAATATAAGGAATGTAAAATATGGTCATGATCATCATAATACAAAATTAAATAAAAAGAAACAGTATTCATACTAAAACTGATAAAGAAAAAACATGTATATAAAGCATGTAAATCAATAAAATAATTGAATGTAAGAAAATAATATTCTGTATACACATAATTAAAAGATTTGTATATAAAGGACCTCTGATATCACTAAAATAAATAAGATCACCCATAAAAAAAAAAAGATCCTGGCATGCTTAGTGGATAAAACATGATTATTTTACAGACAGATAAGCTCAGTGAATAAAACCCTATGGAAAGCTTACCCAACATACATCTGAACAATCTTTCAAGTGTCTGGTAGTTTCAGAACAATATTCATAAGTCCCTGTGAGTCAGTACTTGTTCTACCTGGATCCTTACCCCTTTATTCTGCCTTCATAAGTAACTGAAAAACTTCTACCTAAATGTCCAACAAATAAAAAAAACAGGCAACACATCCTGAAACTCCGTAACCTTCATTTGCACTAGCATCTGCTCCGTTCTTATAATTGGGAGCTCCAAGCTTTAATTTTTCCAACCCGTTGGGTGGGATACCAGCAGATAGTGAGATACTTATCATTGTCATCTTCTGTAAAGGTTGCTTCTCCATACATGGCAGGTTTGGAAAACTCAAATTAAAGCTGATTTAGATTATCCAGTCAGCTTCCATGTCACAGCTTGTCAGAGCACAACTTCAGTTTAACTTCTTTAGAGAAGGAACAACCATTGGAGCAGTCAGTATGACCAAACATCTTTCTGAGAAAATCCTTGCTAACCTCCATAATCCATAGGGATCCATAATATTTTTAACTTCTAAAAGTTTTTATGACAAATTTAAAACAGAAATTCAGGGTGATCAAATTATCCAATTGTAAACATTTAAAGCAGAACTCCAGTTTATTTTTTTTTACTGATCTGGACCCGTAGAGGAGGTGCTGTCCTTCAAGTTCCTTCCCCTCTGCAGCAACACTACTTAAAGCAAGCTTGCAGTTCTTCAAGCTGTATGATGCCCAGTGTCAAGAAGGCTTTTCCTTTTAGTCCTGACTGTCAATGACCCTCCCTCTGCAGTCTTCAGCACTACAGTGCTCATGTCGCTATGTTAGCATTGCTGCCCGTGAGTGCTGGCAATGGTGGAGTTCTACACTCAATCCAAGTAATAATGTGTGTCTACCCTCTCCAGTCATCCTCTGTAATGGCTGTTGGGATATGTAATCCCTGAGTGACAAACACTTGCTGTGTAGTCAGTTCCATAGGAGGTTGGGATGGCCACAAGAGGGCAACTTTACTGGAAGATTGCAGGTGTTTCTGTAGCAAGGAAATGTTCACATTCATTTTTTGAAGACTATGAAGCTTTGTTTTAAAAAAAAAAATCTTGTTTATTTAAAGTAAACTTGTAACAAAACAGCCATTCAACGTAAAGTTCAGAAGTTATAATAAAAATATGCATACTCAAAGATGACCATTAACAAAAACCTTGCATTGAAATGACCAGAGGATCCAGAAATACATTCTGGTAAACTTCAAGCTTGGCTCAGCCCCTTGGTTGCCCTTAGATGGGTGGTCCCAATGGCTGATGAGGATGCACTGAAGGTTACAGGGGAAAGCGGAGAAGCCCAACATTTACTCTAGTTAGAAATGTAGGATAAAATAAAAAATAGAATTTTTTTACACGTATAGGAAATCATAACTGGATACAGAATAATATGAAAAGATAGTTTTTATAATGTTAAAGAGCGATTGTAGTCACATAAATAAACAAGCTTGCTTAAAGTCATTGGGGTTGATTTACTAAAACTGGAGATTGCAAAATCTGGTGCAGCTGTGCATGGTAGCCAATCAATCAGCTTCTAACTTCAACTTCTATCAATAAAGCATTGACAATAAAACCTAGAAGCTGTATGGTTTATATGCAGAGCTGCACCAGATTTTGAACTTTCCAGTTTTAGTAAATCAGCCCCATTAAATCAACAATTTCCATTTTCCAAGTCTAAAAATGACTGGCGTGTCTAATTGGTATCAGAAAAAACCTTGTGCTCCCATTATGTCCCTCAGACCTGGTCAAACAAATCTCTTCCCCCTCTCTGCTATATAAGGATATGTTAAAGGACTTGAGCTGAAGGGTGTGGCTGTCACTCAGCTCTGCTAGCACAGAGGACTTTGAAGGAAGGCAAGAGGTATTCATATAATTTCCAAGAACACCTGACAGTACTGTCAAAAAGGATTTTTTGTAATATTCTTTATTTCTGACATGACTGCATTTCCATCTGCAGATAACACAGCTTCAGTACATACACACCGGATGCCGTTTGACAGGAGAGAGCAAGACATGTATATCTTACCAATTCTGGTTGTTGACGGAGGTACACCAGCGCTAAGTAGTACAGGAACCCTTACTATACGAGTATGTGGCTGTGACAGCACTGGCGCTGTGCAGTCATGTAACACTACTGCCTATGTGATGGCTGGGAGTCTCAGTCCTGGAGCACTTATCGCCTTGTTGGTGTGTGTCCTGATTCTTGTTGGTGAGTTCACTCAATTTTACTATGTTTTTGTCTCTGTAAATGTTTCATGTCCAGAGGTCTTCTATGAATTGTGCTGGACGTCCATGTCCTTTCTGTGGTCCACCAACTAATGAGAGAGGCAAAGTCGAATACACTGGCTGAAGACCCCTCTTATACCACCTTGACATGGATATTTGTCATTCTTTTATGAATTTCTCATGCATTCTTGGTTTTTCTTTTCTTTGTTCTGGAAGTTTTGAAGTTTGTCTGACTGTGTCCTTTCTTGGTTTATTTGGAAATTTGGCAGTCAGCCTGGCTGACTTGGCATGGTTACAATATTTTTTTTCTCGGTTATGTCCAAAGCTGAGCACAATCAGTTTTGGCTGCTGAAAACACACTTTAGTGCAGCTCTTAAAGTTGCCACTTCCTTTTTTTCTTGTGTCCTCGCTAAATAAGTAGTGCAGCTTTGTCAAGGGCCTGCTGAACCCCCATTCACTTTCTTAGCTCAATAAATAAGGGCAACCTGTCTTTTCTTCTGTTACCTATGTAAACATAGCTTTGCCATATTCGCAAAGTGAACATAAAGTGAAAATTCGCAACTCCAAAAGTAACCTAACCCCATGGTACAGTTGGCAAATATGACATACTGTATATTATTATGTCCACTAGCTGTTTAAGCACCCATTCAAACTATGCAGTGCTGTAGTATAATACTGTGCTTGGTGTGGTGCATTGTGGTGCCTCTCATTTTAATGGCATACCTGCTTGCAAATTAAAGCATTGTAGAGGGATTTAAAAAAAAAAATTGTATACTTACCTTCCATGTGCAATGGTTTTGCACACAGCAACCCCAATCCTCCTTTTCTCAGGTCCCCCATCAGCACACCTGTTCCCCACCTTCCAGGTTGAGTGCCCCCATAACAAGCCACTTCCTATGGGATCATTCATGCAGCTCACTCCCGATCTACCTTCTGTGTGTCCATTGACACACACTGTGTGGCTCGGCCCCACCTCTGATCCCTCCTCACTGGCTGTGAATGACAGCAGCAGGAACCGATGGCCCTCACTGCTACTTCTGAGCAAGTGAGAAGAGCGAGAAAGAGCAGTGACGCTGATTTTGTGCACATCCCTGGATTAACAATTTAAGTTGGGGGTTGGGGTGGGGAGCTGCACACAGAAATATTTTCATTGTAATGTCTTTATAACCACTTTAAGTAACATAGTTTGGTCAACAGTCCACCGTTTGCTTGCTAATAGGACAATGATGCTGTTATCTCTGCTCACTTCATTCCTGTAAGCACATGCTCAGGATTTGATAATGTGGTTATTTTTTTACAAGCATAGAGAATTTTCACTTTGCAAATCCAATGCTTACTTAGTTGACTCATTGTGTTCCCTTCGCTCACCTGCCAATGCTCTGCTCCCTTGCTGGTCATAGTGGCTGTCCTTTTGTGGAGAACACACCCTTCTCAGTCACAGTACTTCTGTGGTTACACACTTTATAACTTGTGCAATTAACATAGCTCCAAAGGACAGACCAATCAATGTTCACGCAGTTCCTCTGACTTCCTCCCAACAAAAGGGCAATAGTCCTGCTTCCCTTCCCATTAGGAAGTAGCTTTGATATTCTTTTGAAGGGGAGAGCATAATGCAGTGTTATGAGCACTCATGTGATGTTGCTTGGTATGTCCTCTATATGAGAAAAGTCCCTCTTTAGTTGTTTCTACTGTTCAGCTGCCCAAAAGAACCAAAATATTGCCAAGCGACATTTAGGCAGGGCCCTAATTTTAAGGACCTTACACCCTGTTGCAAGCTGAAATAATAACAAGGCCTGGCTACCAGATAAGATGTAGACCAAGGAATGGAGGCTTTATCGCACTCAAAGCTCTAAAAAGCCTCTGACCCAGCTCTCCTGGCTCTCTGGGCTCTTCGGGCTCACTCAGCTTGTAGTTACAGCACCCTGCTGTACGGGCCTGCTCCCTGGCCCCTTAGTAGGGGATCTCCTGGCACCCTGGTCTCTCTCTCTCCTCCAAGGCTTACAGATTCCCTCAGTCTAATGGTCTCACCAAGTTGTCTCAGTTCTCCCAATCCTCCAGACAACCTTAGCAGTCCTGACTCTCTCAGTCCTGTGCGTAAGGAATCTCTCCTCCAACATGGAGTGCTGTCTCCTGAGTAGAGCACCTCTCCAGATGGGGGTGAGTATGTCTCCTAGATAGAGCATACACCTGTTTTTTGACGGGAGCCCTGCACTATGGTCAGGTCCTTATTTAAAGCGAGTGTGCACAGCTGCACACTAACACAGCCAGCAGGTCTCCAATAAGACCTGGATACCAGATTGTAGGCTTTGCCCTACCCAAGACTCTTTGCAGCCTCTGGACTCAAGACCCTGACTGGGATTACAAAACCCAGTCTTCTCCGCTGAGACACAATTCTCCGGAGCCCCACACTTTGCATTAGTGCGTGTCGCTTTCACTATACTGCCACAATGGCAGGGCCTAGCACTTCACTAACTGTGTATATATATATATTATATATATATAAATCACATATTATTCTGTATATATATTCTTATATAACCTAGACAATATAGATCTTGCATTTAAAAAAAGGGGAATATTCACAAAGTTAGTATGTAGTTTACTGTCACTGACTTTTATAAGGATAATAACCTTTAAACTGAACAGTTGTAGTCACAGTCATTGAGTTTTATAAGGGCAATAACCTTTTAAGTAAACAGTCTCAATTTTCCTGCCTACACACGTTTATTCATAATAAAATATACTCTATGTTCTCTTCTGCAGTGCTGATTCTTCTTATTCTGGCTCTAAAACGACACCACCAGGGTCATCTGGCATCGGATGAGGATGAAGATATGAGGGATAACGTCATCAAGTACAATGATGAGGGCGGTGGAGAACAGGATACAGAGGCCTATGACATGTCAGCCTTGCGGAGCTTATACAACTTCAGTGAAGGAAGCGAGGCTGGAGGGGACAGTTCACTTGCTTCCCAGCGTCACCCACTGCCTCAGTGGTTTCCAGGGGCTGAAATGGACTTTTCACTCTTCAGAGACTACATCAGTAGAAAAGTGAGGATGGCAGATCAGGACTCATCAGTGCCTCCTTATGACTCCTTTCAGACTTATGCCTTTGAGGGCTCTGGCTCCAGTGCAGCCTCTCTCAGTTCCATTAGCACCTGGTCTACGACTTCAGAGCAAGACTTTTCTCAGTTGGGCTCTTGGGGCCCCAGATTTCGCCAACTGGCTGCTCTATATGCTGGACACAAGGGGCAGGAAGAAAGCCAGGGGTCCTAGCCCCAGTCAAACCCTCTGTTTTCAGGGTACCAAGACCTTATGTTCTAATTACGGGGCAGAACTGCTCCATATTTATTACATCTCAGTATGTAAGCAGCATATTACATGACTCTACTATGCCCATTCATTGTATCATTACACAGCAGCTCATTTAACCACACATGCCTCCTATCACTGTCATCTTGCTCTGTTTCTACTCAACACAGTCCTCTCCATAAAGTAAATAACCACGTACCATTAGTTTAAACTGTCTGGTCATTGAATATATTAATAGAATTCATCTACCAATATTACACTCTAGTACATTGGTTATTATCTGTGAGTACAAAGGTGAGAGAATCATCTAATCATCTCTAAAGAAAGGGAAACCTAATGAACACAATAACTGCTACTGTACAGTGAGCACTCTGACTCATCAAACCTAATTATTGGTTATAATACCATATTACTGTTTCTTTTACAAAAGGTCTTAGATTCTTGTCCTGCTGTTTGCAGCGCTTGCCCAATTTATGTCTGACAAGAGACATATGATGGTTTTACTGCTATGGGTCAGAGAATTTAGTTACAATCAACTGAGCTTGTTCTGTAATGTTGGAGATGTTTCACCACTCATCCAAGTGGCTTCCTCAGTTCTAATGAGCGGCAGGAACATACCCCGGAATTATAGCCACATGGACAACAAAGTCACCTTCACCCAATCACCATGGTCTCATGAAATATGTCAAGACAAATGCTAATTGTATGAGAACATGAATGTTCTAATTTACATAATCCAATCACCAAGAAACCATGGTGTCTGGGAGAGGTGTTAATTATTTCTTTGTTACAAATTTTGGGGTATCCACTGGGATTACTGGTGAAAGACCTTCAGCAAAACAGAACACATACAGTTGAATGTGACTAACTTCTAGCTGTACCATGACCTAGATAAATTAACATCAGACCTTGTATATTATGGATGTTCTTCAATGCTAGATTTTTCAAGGAAGTGGCACTGCAAGTGAAATCTCTCATTTTAGTTTCCAAAAGTGGTAGAGCTGTGGAATACAGGAAGGTCACAAGAACAGGAGATTTTTATTGTTTCCTGAAAGATCCCCATCAAGTTTATAAACCCCATTTCAAAATAAGAAAGTGTGGATTGTCTCTAATGCACTTCATACTTTTTGATTATTATATATTGTAGAATATATTTAAACAAGTCAAATTATTGAAAGCCAAGTACATGTTAAGGGCTTGCCTCAAGTTGTCTGAGAGAGAGTGGAGAGTTGTGGCTTTTAAGCCAGTAGTTGGTTGTCACTTCTGCCCTATAGTGGACAGCCACATGCAACTCCTGAGTCAGTTGTTAGAAGTTGCAGTTCTACGTTGTATAGTGGAGAGCCATATGTGATTCCTATACCAGTGGTTGGTGATCACTGTTCTACAGAGGAGAACCATATGTGGTTCCCGAGGGGAAAATCATATGTGGCTCCTGAGCCAGTGGTTGTAGATCACTATTCTGTATAGTATTGTTTTTTTAAAAGTGGGTTGGGAATCAGACAAACAATTAAGCATATTAGACTGATTACAAAGCACTCTGACATGAGCCTTTGGACTGAATTATTAAAGTAACAGTATCAGATCTGTGAATATGTTGGGACTCATAGAACAGCAACTGTATAAATATGTTAATTGTAAAAGAAATCTTATGCTGAAGAAACATTACACTGTGAAATGGCCAAACTAACAGCAAAATATACTAAAATATTGCTGCCTCAAAACAGGTCTTCAAAGGTTTTTAGCAAAAATGGTAGCAATACCCCTTCATTGTAACAATTGATGGTTACCTCCTGTGGACACCTGGTAGTTGTATCAGAACAATGTGAATTTTCTATCACAATACAGCCACAGGCTTGAAAATCTTTTTATTTCAAAGGGTGTCCAAGTAATAAAGAGTTTTCTACCACGTCTAATCTACTCTCAAGTGACTTTCACACTTTATTGGGTCATTAGTAGAAAAAGTAATAAAAATTAAAGTGAAAATACAGAACATTTTTAACAAAACTTACTTGTAGTTTTCCTTTCTTGGTCTATTCCTATATCAGCATATTATGGGTTGGACCATCTCTAAGAAGTACATAAATTTAACAATATCCCACACAACCATCATTCAGTCACCAGAACCGCAACAGAACAGTGGTGGGGAAGCCTATGCTGACATTAAGATAGGCCTGGAAAGGAAAAAACAGGTAAGCACTGAGAACTATTTTTTGTATTCCTGGTCTCCACATACTATGGGATCTAGCAAGCAATAACAATAAAAAAGGGAAGGAAACAAGAACAGAAACCAACAAAACTGCAGCACCAGCTTGAATGTGAAAAGGATTTATTAATGAGACAGAAATGGAAACAAAACTGAGAACACAAAGTGCACTGAGATCCTGGTCATCACGTCTTCTTCACTATCTAGGAAGAAATCACCTTGGGAAAAGCAGCTATTCCCCTGTTAAGTGTTTTAGAAAGGACAAAGAGAGTATCTACCACGGAACAAGAACAAAAAGAGAATGCTATGGAGTGGGACTCAGAATTATAGACTTGTTACATACAGTATTTTCCTATTGGAACAAGAGTGGAGAAGCTGACCTGTAGTATGCTGCCATGAGGAGACCAGGAAACCCCTTTAACCGATACAAGGAACCATAGATTGAAGCCATTGCTCCCAGTGAGGGTGACGTATAAGTGTATAGGTGAATATGCTTTGGTCATAAATGTTTCATTTTTTTGGGTTGTTTTATTGTTTTCAAGACTATTGTTAAGGGCTAAATTTATAAATCTAAAACACAAGTTGTCTTACCAAAAAAGTTATATTTAAAGTAATACATGTTTCAAAATCGTATTAGTATTGTGAATATAAAGCATTAAACAGTGATGCTTCCAACACATAGTTGGCTTCCTGTTGGATAAATATTCGATAACATAATGCAACAGGTTGCCCTCAGCCAGTCTGCCAATGTTAGAACAATGTTAAATATGTCAAACTCTATGAAGGTTTGGAAGTCTTTAAGACGAATGCCAACTTTTACAAGTTATGTAGCATAATTTATAGCACTGTTTACACACCATGCAATCATTTGTTATGACTCTCTGCAGCCTTGGAATCCCACCTAGCTTTTAATCATCTTGCGAGCATCCCAGAAAAATTACATGATATAAAGCAAACATCCCACCCCACTGCATTATTGTCTGCAACTGTCCAGCTCTGGGAAAGCAAATAGGAGCTAATCTCTATACAGTCATAACCCAGGGTACTTAACCACTTCCCCCTGGGTGGATGTCATATGACATCTTGGTGGTTAAGCGGTTGGTAACCATTCATGTAGAAGTGATCAGAGTGGCTTTGCTGCCACTTGATCACTTCTACAGGTGGCGAAAGGGGGGGGGGGGACCTCCCAACACCACCTTTCCCCAGCTCTCCCATCTGATTGGGGAGCGTGGGACGACTCTGGCTAGTGGTATCTACAGCAGTGAACAGAGAGTAACTGTTGTTGTTCTTCCCTCTCTGTGAAATCAGAAAACAAAAGCAACAAGGATTTCACCACTTTTGGTCTCAGTTCTTTGCTTACTGGCCTGTTATTGACCAGTGAAGAAGCTGAGGAGACCAATCTGTGTAATGATCAGCTGTATTTGAGACCAGATGAGAGATCTGGGGTCTAATAGACCCCAAATCTCTCCATAAAGTGATGTTGTTCATCTCTTATGATAGCAATAAAGTTGATTTTAAAAAAGGGACAGTGTAAAAATATGTTTTAAATACAATAAATAATAGAATAAAATATTAAAGCACCCCTGGTACCCCCATGCTCATGTGCAAATGAAAACTCATACGTAATTCCCGCACGCATATGTAAACGATGCTCACATCAAACGTGTAAAGCATTGTCGCGTCAGATTTAGAGCAGTAATTCTGGCACAAGACGTCCTGTATAACTCTAAACTGGTAACCTGTAAAGGCTTTTAAAGCGGTGCCTATGGAGATTTTTAGGTACCTTAGTTTGGCACTGTTACACAGGCGTCCAGATTTTAAAGCATGACATGTTAGGTATCTATTTGCTATTGGCATAACATCATGTTTTATATTTTACAAAAAAAAATGGGTATTGCGTTGTGTTTTTGTTCACTAAAATCCACAAAGTGTATTTTTTCCAAAACTTTTGCTTTTAAAAAACCAATGCACAAATTAAAAAAAAATGTGGCATTAAAAAATATTGCAACACCCACCATTTGATTCTCTAGGGCCTCTGCGTAAAAAAAAAAAAAAAGTAATATTCTAGCAAAACAATGCTGACTTTTACATGCATATCAGAAGTGTCAGAATTAGCCCGGAAGTTAAGGGGGTGAGATAAAATGAACATTTAAATACTGCAGGAATTGGTATTACCTTTAAACTTTAACAGCAGATTCTATGAAAGTGGAGCTCCATGCTTCCCCAAAAATATTAAAAGTCAGCAGCTACAAATACTGTCGCTGCTGACCTTTAATATAAGGACACTTACCTGTCTAGGGATCCAGCAATGTCCTCACCTGAGCCAATTCTTCAATCAGCTTTGGGTGCAGGTGTCGGCATCTTCAGTAAGGGAAATCACAAGTGAAACCTTGCTGATTCACAGCCGCCCCCCTTCTGTACATACGTGAAGTGTGCTTCACTTTTTGAATGTTCCCGCAGTCTTCTGGGACATGTGAAGTGTCCCAGAAGGCTGCTGGAAAAGCAGGGGGGCCAAACTGTCAGCGGTGCATCTGACCAGAACTGGGATCAGGTACCTTTCAAAACCAGGTATCAGCTCCCCCCCAAAAAAAAAGTCAAAATGTGGCAGTGGAGGGGGGAGGAGGCAAACAAGCAGAACATCCCCTCTTGGGTGAAGTTCCACTTTAATCTATATCTAAGATTGTCCATTTAAAGGAAAAAGAAAATTATTTCATTTTTTATTTACGTCTTTAATTTTTAAACTAACTATTGTTCTTTTTGT